CGACTTGTGCCCCACAGACTTCGATGCTCCTACGATATTCTCTTCAACATCTCTCTCATAGCCCTTTTCCCCATCTCTCAATGTCATTGTCTTCCCATCTGTGCCGTTTGCCCTTTTCGTCCTTTCCTCTCCCCTTCCCCACCCCCCACACCCCCACCCACCAGCACTGACCCCGCACCTGCTTCTCCTACACCTACTTTTGCGCCATTGACTCCCATCCCTATGCCGTGGCCGCACTGTTCTCCCCCTCTCACGCACCTCCGCCACGGTGGAGGCTGCTGACGTGGCGGAGGTGCATGAGAGGCTGCAGGCGAAGATGGGCGAGGCCGGGCTGCTGGGTACCCCGTGGCGGTGTTTGAGGAGTGACGAGCAGAGGAAGGAGGAGGTACGTTCGAAGGGAGTGAGGGGATGCGAGCAAGCTGGGCTGTTCGATACTTGTGAGTCAATGGTGGGTCGTGAGCAGATTACGGGTGAGGCAAGGCTAGGCGGGGCTGCTGGGTGCCTCGCGGTCATTTCCTTCCTCACGGACGAGCAGAGGAGAGGAGGTAGGTGGTGAGAGGGACGTGGGCTGATGATGGTTCACCAGCTTGTCACTACTAGCAAGCCCGTTGCGTGCAGTCAGATTTCATCTTGAAGCACGAGCAGGTGAGGCGAGGTTAGGCAGGGCTGCTGTGTTCCACAAGGTTTAGAAGAAGGGTCGGAATCTCTTGCCCAGGTGGTGCTTAGTTTCCATGGAAACATGTGCTCATGCCGGAGTGGTTATCGGGACAGACTAGAAATCTGTTGGGCTCTGCCCGCGCAGGTTCGAATCCTGCTGAGCACGTTTGTGCCGTGTTTATGTGTTTGCTGAGGAAACTGTAATCAGGATCTGTGATACATAAGACTATTGTTTTGCACTACAATTCGCAAAGAGCGTCAGCCTACAGATGTGTATTTCGTACTGCGGCTATGTGTGGTCAGACTGATCAACCAAAGAACGCGCGAATCTACTCACTTCATAATCTCTAAAGTGCTCCTCGTCATAGTGCGACGTCGCACAGAAGCGCGGCGACCTAGGGTTGCCGGGTGACGATATAACAATTGCTCAGTCATCAACTCTACCGTCGTTAATTTGTGCTGCTCAGTGGAAGAACTTTGGCATGGCGATGCAACTGTCGCTGCACTGAGGCCTGTCGCACTGGGGTCTGTTGCACTGAGGCATATCGCACTGAGGCATATCGCACTGAGGCATACCGTCATCGCCCGGATATAAGACATATATGTCTTATCTCGTACACGGGCAAAAATGCTTGAGTTATCTTGTAAACGGGATGGTTTAGGGTGTCTTATAAGTCTTATAAATGGAAACTTTTTAAACTACTTAGAAATATTTTCCGTACTTCTTTAAAAAGAGTTTCTCATAATGCGTGTGGATGTTGCGAAGGTGCCACTTCGACAACCTCTGCCCGAGACGCCACGTTATGGAGAACGCCTGCAGGGGCAAATTTGGTAGGTCCTGGGTCAGCGCGTGGAAGAATTCGCGCTTCGCAAGGGTAAAAAAGTACGCGGTACTTCAACTTTCGCTATAATTTATTGAAGTTTCGATTATAAGACATATATGTCTTATCTCATACACACAAATAGGTGTCTTATAATGAGGCTAGCCTGTTTATAAGAGACACCCGTATAGTAGACAACCCCTGTCTACTATTCAACACTGTCTTATATCCGGGTGATGACGGTATCGCACTGAGGCATATCGCACTGAGGCATATCACACTGAGGCGTGTCGCAGTCGCCAATGCCTGGTTGAGCAGTACGTATTAAATGTGCTGCTGTGGTCCACTCTGTGGTCATTCATAAGGTACAGCAGTACTTGAACCCGTCTCATGTTTCTTTCCTTTTTCCCTTCGCTTTAGTTTTTACGTTTGTTACAGGCCGATTCTATCTGCAGCCACTGAGCCAGTTGCAGCTCCTCCTCCGGCCGCTCCTGCTGATCTTACTTCCGCATCAACAAACCAGCACTCAGAGTCCAATCCGTTATTGTCACACTCAGCACTGCCACTGTCAACCTCTGTTTCAAAGCATGCAGCAGCAGCCCATGCCTCTGCTCCTCCACGCTTACATCAATTCCTCTCTTCGCATCTTTAACGCTGACTGGTGGTTACCATGTTGATATCAGCCTTGTCTACAGTAACCTTGCCTACAGTAATTTCGGTAGCACAGCCTCTGCTGCAGATATTTTGCCCTGCTCGTTACAGTCACACGCAGCCCCCTCCTTCCCGAACCTGCCCTCTCGGTTCCTCTCCCCCGTCCCTCTCATCGCTTCCCAAGCCTCTAAATCAGCTTCGGGAGTCATCCGCCGAGCCAGTTGCTCCTGGTTCCGGTCTCCCTCCTGAGCTTGTTGCTGCTGGTTCGGGAATACCTGCCGAGCCTACTGTTGATGGTTCGGCAGCAGGGAAAGTTGACAATGCAACGAGTGCCAAAGTGAAGCAGAAGCACATGTTGGGAAGATTTTGGAAGGAGGCAATGGCAGCAGCATTAGCAGCACCGTCAGCAGCAGCAGCAGCAGTTGTGGGGCATGATCAATCAGGTGCGCGGCAACACCTCTGTCCGGCTCCCCATTGTGGCGCTGAGGATGGCGGCAACGCCTTTAACCCTGCGCCCTTCTTTTCAAACCCCTTGAACTGAAACCCCATTGGGTGTGCTGCGCAGAGGGCAGTTGTGGGGCGTGATCAGTCGGTCATGTGCACGGCAGCGCCTCTGTCCAGTTGTCCCTGCAGGGACAACTCCCCATTGAGGCGCTGAGGATGGCGAGTGGGTGTGCTGGACTAGGAGCTGCTGCTGTGGTTGAGTGCGGTGCAGAGCTGTGCAGTGTTGCTTGGGAGGTGTGTGTGATGCTTGGGGCAACGCCTTTGTTCGGCCCCCCATTGAAACACGGAGGATGGCGAGTGGGTGTGCGGGACAAGGAGCTGCTACTATGGTTGAGTGCGGTGCTGAGCGGTGCGGTGTGGTGTGGTGCGGGTAAGGCTGGATGTACCTGGTTGAGTGTTCCTGGAATTGTTTGGCGTGACTGTGCCTTTGCATGTGTGAGTGCGTGTGCATGTGCATTGCTTATGCATGTGGCGGTGCCTGTTTCTCCTTCACTCCTTCATCCTTCGCCCGCTTCTCTCTGGTCCCTTCTCTCTCACTTACTCTCGCTCCCATTCTTCTGCACTCCATTTGTCCTTGCACCCAGTACGCCCACCAAATCTCTTCTCTCCTCTCCCTCTCCCTCCCTCGCTCTCTTCTCCCTTTTCCCTCCCCCTTCGGTATCTATCTTTCTATCTCTCTTTCTCTCTGTCCCATCCCTCTGCAGGCCGTTTGTCACTGCAACCCATATTCCTACCTAACAAAAGCAGCAGAGGTGAGCAAGCAACTAGTTTCTGCCTGAGACGATTCAAAAGTTATTTGTCACTGCAGCCTAGCCCGTACGCACACCGAGCAAAAAAAAAAGGTGAGCACTCCTTATGTTTCCGGTTTGAGGTTGGTATAGACCAATAGTCAATTCCAAAAGAGAACTTGTACAAGATCCGTTACCTCCAGTAAGTGCTATAACTTGGTTCTTCCTCCTGGTTTTACATCAATATCAAGGCCAACAAACATTGGTTCTACTTCCACTATATAACAAGAAATAACAAACTGTTTCACATTCATTTTATATTGTTTTTCCTCAATCATCGGCCGCATCAGCAGCACTGCCTAGCACTACTAGCATTGCTACGCAACAACATGTTTTTGCTGAGAAAAACCATGTCCAAATTTGTCCTTTTTATGGCACCTCCTGCTGTATCAGGTAAAACATCAACTCTTTATTCTTCTATAAGAACATCGTGTGAACATAACGAACTTAGCAGGGTAGCACTAGCCCTTGTCAATATCTTACGGCTCTTGTTAGTGTTAGAAGTGGAAACCTTACTAGGAAAATATGATAATGATATGATCATTCTTTACACTGTTAAATTTCTCTTTTTTAAAACATTTTTTTTCAGTATTCTTCTTTCTTGCCAAATATTACCCTGTTTAGTTTTTTTTTTTTTTTTGCATTATTAGCCAGCTGTAATATGAGTCACTCTCATTAGCAGATATAAGGTTTAGCGAATTTTTTTGATGTATTACACTTATATACTGGGTACATTCGTAGTCGCAACTATACAAGTTTTAGCGAAGAGCTCTTCGCCGAGGTAGGGTAGGGAGGTTCACTTCCCATCCCGCTACCACATGTCTGCTTCATCGTTCTGCACTCCTGGGTTCTGCAAACCGTTCATTTCCGTTCCGCACCGAGTGTCAGCTGAACGTATTCCTTGCTGCTGCCAGCAGCTCCTCTTCCCGCACCGCACGCTTGAACGCTTGCAGACTCGTCGCGTTGTGGGGCGCGAGGCTGGGGTGCTCGACGGATGAGGGGCGCAGCGGCCGCACGCAGTACGGCCCATGTCGTTCCTCCCAGGGAGATCGCACCCATCTCTCTCAACCTCACCCGCGTGCAATCGCCGTGTAGAGGGTGTAGCGGGGTTGCTTGTTTCTCCCGCGCAACAGCGAGCCACCGTTGTCACTCCCACGGAACTCGCGCCGATCACTCTCTCTCATCCTCACCCGCGTTCAATCGCCGTGTCGAGAGTTTAGCGCAGCCGTTCGCTTCTCCCGCGCAACGAACAATCACGGCGACCTTCGCCGACGCGCAGCGCCGCCGCGACAGCGTGCGCGTTCTGACGTGTGCCGCGTGAGCCCGATTCGGCGCAGCTCTGACTTCGCCGTGCCGCCTCCTTGAGAAGTTTCCCTCGTTTCATCGCAGATCCGCGCGCCGCCGTTGGAGGGCGGATCGTTCCCGAAGCAGATCCTCACGCCGTTGAAGGGAGTGAGCCCGAATCTAGCGATGCGGGCTGCCTCGTCTCCTTGAAAAGTTTCCTCGCTGCCCCGCAGGTCCTCGCAGGTCCTCGCAGGTCCGCGCGTCGTTCAAGGGCGGATAGTTCCTGAATCTAGCGATGCGGGCTGCCTCGTCTCGCACCCGTCGCCGCGTCTTCGCATCGCTCACGCCGGTTCTCCTCGTGACGGTTCTCCTCGTGCTCGCCACGTGTTCGCGCCTTTCCCTGCCACGTGTACACTTCTCGCTGCGCCTGGAATGGCCCGAAGGCCGCCCACATCACCACGTCAGCACCAGCCTTCCTGGGAGCGACCATGCGGTGGCAGGCGCGAGTCAACAGAGTCAACGAAGTCAACGGAGGGCCCTCGCTGAGAATTCGTCCGCCGTTCCGCCGCCGCCGCCTCCCGTGTGCGAGTGCCCCGCGTGCCCCGCCGGAGACAGTGGCCGCGGTGACAGTGGACCAGGGGGCGACGATGCGAGGAGCGCTAGTGGAGGGGGGAGCAGTGGAGCGGAGGGTGGAGGCGAGGCGGTGGCAGAAGCGTGGGGCGAGAACCACGCGTTCCGAGTGCACCCGACGAGCATCAGCCTGTTCGCCGTCGTCAGCACTTACCGCACTGGCGAGGCCAGGTGGGGTAAGGCGAGGCCAGGTGGGGCAAGACAGACAACTGGTGAGGTACGACAGGTGAGACGCACTGAGCGTGCAGACGAGCGTCAACCTGTTTTCTGTCGTCAGCACCTACCGCACCGGTGAGGCCAGGTGGCGCAAGCAAGCGTAAGATGCCGGGTGTGGGGCAACAGGTGAGGCGCGGCCCTGGGTGTGGGAGGGACTGCAGGAAGATACCAAAGGCTCATCTCATCGCCTTGGATGGCGCCAATGCGTGTGTGTGTGTGTGGCGCACACACGCGAGCATCTTTGAGGCGCCTAAAGAAACGGCAAGTGAGTCGCGGTGAGCCGAGCTGGAAGATACCAAAGGCTAATCTCATCGCCTTGGATGGCGCCAATGCGCCATGCCATGCAGGCGAGCATCTTTGAGGGGAGACGAGCCTAAAAAAACGGCAAGTGAGTCGCGGTGAGCCGAGCTGGTTGGATTGGAACCAGAGGCTCGTTGCCTTGTGTGGCGCCACGCCATGCAGACGAGTCGAGCATATCTCATTTTTCTCTCTTTTTAAGAATTCTCAAAAACGGATTCAGCTATGCAGACGAGATGAGAATCTCTCAAGCACTCCTCATCCCTCCGCGCCTCGCACGGTGCGTTGTGCCATCTGTATGCAACTTCAAAGCGGCCCACGCCACTACTCCTTCCTGACCACCTTCACCATCTCCTCACCTCAGCTATCACATCAAGAGCTGCAAGTCTCCATACAATCGTTCTTACCCATTAGTTTGGAATTACCAAACGTTTCACGCTGCCTTCCACCTCCCATCCCTTACCATGTGTGCTGCTGCTGCTCAGCTCATGGTGGCGGGCGACTCGCTGCTGGGCGCTCAGCTGCACCTCCCTCTCCCCCTCCTCCCCTCTCCCCCTCTCCCCTCCCCCCCTCTGCCCTCTCTCCTCTCCCCCTCTCCCCTCCCCCGCTCTCCCATCCCATGTGTGCTGCTGATGGGCAGCTTCATGGTGGTGGGCGAGTCGCTGCTGGCCGCCCAGCTGCACCCCCCGCTCCCCGCACTCCCCTCTCCCACCCCTTCCCTTTCCCCCCTCTCCCATCCCATGTGTGCTGCTGCTGCTCAGCTTCATGGTGGTGGGTGAGTCGCTGCTGACCGCTCAGCTGCACTTCAAACTCTTCGAATCATCTTTCCCGCTACGTCGGATAACCAAACGCTCTTTGTTGCCCTCCCTAACCTCCCATGCGTGCATGGCAGTTTTATGGTGGTGGGAGAGTCGCTGCTGGGCGCTCAGCTGCACTTCAAACTATTCAAATCACCTTCCACGTTTCTCTCCCTGCCCTCTCATGCGTTGCCCTCCCTCCCATCCCATGGGCAGTTTTATGGTGGTGGGCGAGTCGTTGCTGGGCGCTCAGCTGCACTTTGCTGGCGCGCTGGTGGACGAGTGTGTGTGGCAGGGCGAGGCCGAGGCGGAAGGGGGAGACAAGGAGCCTCCGGTTGTTGCTCCAGCAGAGACCTTGCATGTGAGTGGCATGTGAGTGGCATGTGAGTGGCATGCGAGTGGCATGCGAGTGGCATGTGAGTGGCATGTGAGTGGCATGTGAGTGGCATGTGAGTGGCATGTGAGTGGCATGTGAGTGGCATGTGAGTGGCATGCGAGTGGCATGCGAGTGGCATGCGAGTGGCATGCGAGTGGCATGCGAGTGGCATGTGAGTGGCATGTGAGTGGCATGTGAGTGGCATGTGGGTGGCATGTGAGTGGCATGTGAGTCGCTGCTGGGCACTCAGCTGCACTTAACTGCTTCGCTGGTGGACAAGTGCGTGTGGCAGGGCGAGGTGGAAGGGAAAAGGGAAGGGAAGGAGTCTTCGGTCGTTGCATGGGCATGCATGCGAGTGGCACTCTGTATCCAAGTTTATTGCGTACCTATTTGAGCATTACGTATTTAAGGTTGTCTGCAACGAGCTCAAGTTGAACCATGTCATGCTTCTCTCTGATTGTTTTGACGCAACCTCCAAAGTTGTCATCACAATCGGATCATTGGAAACATGAGAAGCCTGTCATGGTTCAACTTGAGCCTCATAGTAGACATCCTTAGATAAGTAATGCAATGGTGAGTAGGCAAATAACTTATAGATCCAGTATATGAAAAAAAAAAAACCACATCTAGTCCTGCCTGCTCCACCTCAATACACGCCCACATCGACGCCCTTGCCCGTGCCGCCTCAATTCTCTTCCGCATTTCATCACTCACCCACCCTCTCGTCCCTTGCCTGCCCTCCTCACCCCTCCCCCCCCACTCTGTCTCCCCACCACCAGCTGCGCCCTTCAGAACACATCTCCCTCCCCTGGGGTGCGCTGCTCATCCGCTGCGCCTTCAACGCATCAGTGGGCAGCAACAGCAGAGGCGGCGTGCTGTCAGTATTGAAACGTTCGGAGCAGCAGCGGCAGCGCCGCAGCATCGCCCACGAGCACGCCCACGCGGTGGGCTTCGACGTGGAAGCCACCTCCCCCCTCACCCTGCATACCGCCGCCATGCCCGTCTTCCGGGAGAAGACCGGCGGCTTCGATATAGTCACGTCCCCGTTAAAGTACAATCTCACTTATTGCAGCGGGTCGCTTTTTGGGCATATTGATCCGCGGGCATTGGGGGATTGGATTCGGTACCACCACAGGGTTGTGGGTGTGGAGAAGTTTTTTTTCTATGACCACGGGGGGCTTACTGTGGATAATGATACGGCGGCAGTGGTGGCGCCTTATGAGGAGTCGGGGGTGGTGACTGTAACGAGGATGAAGGGTGGGCGGCATTTCGTGTCGTACTATTCGCACCAGATTATGAACCAGAACGACTGCTTGTATCGGTCGAGCTTCCTCACCAAGTGAGTTCTCTCACCCGCTTCTCTGCCCTTGTCTGTATTGGCACCGTACCCCACTTGGAGCTCCTCTCCAATTTCACATTGGAAGGTCACCTCAAGGCCTTGTTTCCGGTTTTCTGCTTTTTTTCATTGCTGTCACTCTGTCTCTCTGCTCTTCTCATATTTCTCACTTCAGCCGCCATGTCTTGCCCTTTCTCGCCTTCCTCCCCCCCTCCCAATTCTTAAGTGGCTGCTCTACACAGACCTGGACAAGTACATCTTCACGCTGCACTGTCTCACCCTTCCCCCCACCTCCCCTACCCCTCCAAACCCTACCCCACCCTCCCCCCTCACCCGCAGGTGGCTGCTCTACACGGACCTCGACGAGTACATCTTCACACCACCACCCGCCACCTTCCTCTCCTTTCTCCACCGCCTTCCTGAGAACGCCTCATGGGCGAGCATGGGATCATACATGCACAGCATCAATACATGCAGCCAGCCGCACCACGGCAATGCCACTAACGAGTCACAGCTCTTAGTGGAGCATCTGCCCTGGAGGGCGGAGCTCCCCAGCTGCTCCGACCGGGCAAAGGCCTTGGTGTGCCCGGGAGCGCAGGGCAGGCGAAAGCAAGTGGTGGATCCGAGGAGGGTGAACATGGTATCAGTGCACCGGGTAGAGGACCCTTGGGATTCCCATGGCGTGGACTGGAATGCCTCGTTTGCCGAGCCTTTTCCGAAGCTGATGCATTTTCAGGGCCTTCCAGTTAGGAAGCCTGTTAGTGTGAGGTGTAGGGATGTCAAAGAGGGGCATATGAAGGAGGGAGAGGTGGTGGAGGATGGGAAGGTTTTGGATTTTACGTTTCGAGATTTTGTTGCTAGTGCTATGAATAAAGTTGGTTGATGGTGTGTGTGTGCTTAATGGAAGCTTTTAACAATACCGTATATAAACCGTAAGAACACCGCAAAGAGTATCACAAACATGCAAGCTGACTTGGCATATTCACAATGCTGGTGCTTCCCATACCAATGCTAAGGCAGAGTGGGCCCACATAGGCAAGGCAAGTGCCAAGCGCATGGGGTGGCGGTGGTGAGGTGCGTGTGACATGACAGCCGGGTGTGACGTGGTGGTGAGGTGCATGTGTCGTGGCGGTGTGGTGCGTTTGACGTGGCAGCCGGGAGTGACGTGGCGGCGAGGTGCGTGTGACGTGGCAGTCGGGTGTGACGTGGAGGCGAGGTGCGTGTGACATGGCGGTGAGGTGTGTGTGACGTGGCAGCCGGGTGTGATGTGGCGGCGAGGTGCGTGTGACGTGGCGGCAGTGAGGTGCGTGTGGCGTGGCAGCCGGGTGTGATGTGGCGGCGAGGTGCGTGTGACGTGGCGGCGGTGAGGTGTGTGTGACGTGGCAGCCGGGAGTGATGTGGCGGCGGTGAGGTGCGTGTGGCTTGGCAGCTGAGGGTGATGTGTCGGCAAGGTGCGTGTGGCGTGGCGGTGAGGTGTGTGTGACGTGGCGGCCTGGTGTGACGTGGCGGCGAGGTGCGTGTGGCGTGGCGTTGAAGTGTGTGTGACGTGGCAACCGGGTGTGACGTGGCAGCCGGGTGTGACGTGGCAACGAGGTGCGTGTGACATGGAGGTGAGGTGCTTGTGACGTGGCAACCATGTGTCACGTGACGGCGAGGTGCGTGTGACGTGGGAGCCATGTGTGATGTGGCCGCGAGGTGCGCGTGACGTGGCTGTGAGGTGCGTGTGACGTGACAGCCGGGTGCAACGTGGCAACAAGGTGCGCATGACGTGGCGGTGAGGTGCGTGTGGCGTGTCAGCCGTGCGTGATGTGGCGGTGAGGTGCGTGTGCCGTGGCGATGAGGTGGGTGTTACGTGGCAGCCGTGTGTGACGTGGTGGCGAGGTGTGCGTGATGTGGCGGTGAGGTGCATGGGACGTGGCAGCTGTTTGTGTGTATGTGTGCATGTGCCTGTATACGTTTTGTTAGTAAGAGGTCATAACGTAACACAAAACGATTTAGGCAAAACATTGGTCTACAAACACATTGGTTTAGTGTATTATACTGCTTGGTACTTCGAAGCGCAGTCTTTAACCCTCGTCACTTTGGTTTTACAGCTTACGTTCGTCGCGCTGCGCATTGTGCCATCGTTACTGTCAACTGTGACTCCCGCACATCGAACAAAGAATGCACGCTTCAGATTTGATGTGTCACATGGAAGGCTTATCAATGTCTCTCCGGAATTCCCTCGCTTCATTTCTAGCCAACTGTAGGTCGATGCGCGTGACAGCTGTTTTACAGCTTCGATCCAATGTGGCTCTTGACTGCCCTTCTCGACTTTTGTGATGGGGTTTGCAAACGCTTGCTATTTTTTTTCCGATTTTACCCGTCATAAATCTTTTCCATTTTTCATGTTTCGTTTCCAATAAAATACGATGTTAGTTGTTTTCGTTCTCGTTTTTCAACTAGTGGTAGTATCGTTTTCATTTTTTTCGCTGTTATGAGTGCTATTGAGTGAGCGAATGAGGATTGCAATATCGAAGCAAGACAATACAATGAGCAAAGGAATGAGCGAATGTTAAGCGAACTAACGGTGGTAACAGTAACGAGTGAAATGTGGGGTGCGCGACGGGCCTCGCGCCGAGGTTGGAAATTGTCGAGGTGGAGGACCGTATTCCAGGTTACCCGTCGACCCGTGAGGGTTGGGTGCAGTGTGAATTGGGGTGGGAATAGTTGAGGTAAAACGGCGACTGTTGTGTTGTGGTTGATGTCGAGTTGTTGTATGCGAATTCGATGGGTGGCATTTGCTGCTCCCATGTTGCCGGGTCATCGCACGTGGCTCGAATCAGCTGCTTCATGGTCTGATTGGTTCGTTCCGTCTGTCCGTCGGTTTCGGGGTGGTATGATGAAGTGAAATGTAGCAGTGTGCAGAACTGCTGACAGGTTCCGCCTGAAGTTGCTGGTGAATTTTGTGTCGCGGTCGCTGATAATTGCTTCTGGTATCCTGTGCAGTCGGACGACGGTGGAGATGAAGAGTCGGGCTGTTTCTTCGCCTGAGGTTGTTTTGTTGCAGACTGCGAAGTGGGCCATTTCGTTAGCCAATCGACGACGACCGAGATCGCATCGTTCCCACTCGCCCCAACCGGTAACTCTGTGATGAAATCCATCGTCACCTGCTACTAAGCACGCACTGGGGGTGGTATCGGATGCAGCTGTCCTGCCGGTCGCTGCCGTGACGACTTCATGAGTTGGCAGGTAGGACACAACGCCACGTGTTTCTGCACGCCGGACAGCATCTCGGGCCGGTAGTAATATCGCTGCAGCTGCTGCCATGTTATTTCTACCCCGAAATATCCCGAGGTGATTCCGGCATGTGCCTCCTGTAGTAGTAGCTCCCGCAGTAGTGTGTAGCCCGGTACCCAGATGTAGTTGGTGCCAGATTTTACGTAATACACCTCTCGTGCTGCTGCAAGCTGCTGTGAATTTCCTCCTGTGAAGAATGGGTATGTCTGGTAACCGTGGGTAAATAGGCCAGTGAGTAGTGGGCTGGTCTGGGCGGGTAGTATGGCGTGGATTTGGGCAGTCGGGCGGGTTAGTGCGTTGGCAATGTTCGAAGCACCTTTTTGTAAGTGACCGTGTAGTGGAAGTTTGACTCAAGGAAATCAAGCCAGCGAATTTGTCGGTGGTTGAGGTGGGGCTGTGCGCGGAGGTACTGCAGTGATCGGTGGTCCGTCAGTACTGTCACGTCTGCGCTGGTTAAGTAGCAGCGCCACACTTTGAACGTGTATACGATCGCAAGCATTTTGCGGTCATGTATCAGGCAATTGATTCTCGGGTAGATGTAGTTTTTGTGACTTGTATGTGATGGGCTGTAATCCGTTCCCGAAATCCTGTAGAAGTACTGCTCCGATGGCGATGTCGCAAGTGTCTGTAATTACTTCAAATGGGCGGTGTGGGTCGGCAATGCGCAGTGTGGGCGGTGAACAGAGAACAGTTTTCAGGGCAGAGAAGGCAGCATGCTCTTTCCCCCCCCCACCTAAACGCGACCCCCTTCCTTAGCAAATCTGTTAGCGGCCGTGCTCATCGGGGACGAACCGACGCACATAATCAACAAGTGGAAAAAACTCTGCAGTTCCGTAATGTTCGTCTGTGGGTGCCAAGCATTAGCTGTATCTATTTTTTTCGGGTTGATCTCCACTCTAGCCTCTGAAATAGCATGCCCCAAATTTTCTAATATGTTCTGGAAAAACTCGCACTTGGAACCCTTCGTCAGTAGCCGGTGTTCGTAAAAAATCTTGAGCCTGTAAACTATGACACATTTATTTAAGAGCAGCCTAAACGCCTCGTTCATGGTCATCTAAAAAGTCTCAAGCGTGTTGGTCAGTCCGAATGGCATTACTGTATACTCGTATGACCCGCACCTAGTCCTAAAAGCTGTCTTGCCGCAGTCTGTCGGTTCCACTCTGATCTGGTGGTAGCCGCCGATGAAATATATTCTAAAAAAAAACCCTAGCTGTTTGTAGTTGGTCGATCAGTTCGTCGACGCGGGAAAATTGGATATTGCGACTTGACAGTTACCCTGTTCAGCGCTCGGTAGTCAATACACATGCGAAACCCCCTATCCTTCTTCGGTGTGAACAGTATCGGTGCGGCGAACGGCGACGAACTAGGTCTGATGAATTTTTTATCGAGTAGGTAGTCTAACTGCTTCCAAAGTTCGTCCAGTTCAGGCTGTGTGAATCGGAACCGTCGCAGTACGGTTGGCTATGCCCCTGGTTCTAACTCTATGCGGTGGTCGTGTGCTCGCTGAGGTGGCAGTCCCTCGGGTAGGTCATCGAGAAAGATCCCTGTGTACCGTTTCAGCAAATCCTGTAGTTTGGGCGGTACGGCTGCCAGCGGTTTCTCAAAATCGCTCGGCTTCTCGGCTTCCCCTACTTCCGTGATATCTACCGAGTACACGTCAGCTCCAGCACCGATGGTCTGTTTCATTGTGATGGCGTTCACGTGGACCGGGGTGAAGACTCAGGCAACTGCAAGCGAGGTAGCGCGACCCAATTACCGCCGCTTCGTGTGAAAAAACGAGGAATGAAGAAGAGGGGTTGCACTAGCAGCAGTTGGCATACATATAGGAAACCCTATAGGGGCCGCGAGGGGCCTGGACGGGCGGCGACGGGCCGCTAGGGGCGGCGACGGGGCCGCGAAGGGGCCGCGAGGGGCCTGAAAGGTCGGCGACGGGGCCGTTAGGGGCGGCGACGGGGCCGTTAGGGGCGGCGACGGGGCCGTTAGGGGCGGCGACGGGGCCGCGAAGGGGCCGCGAGGAGCCTGGAAGGGCGGCAACGGGGCCGCGAAGGGGCCGCGAGGGGCCGAGAAGGGCGGCGACGGGGCCGCGAGTTTGGCGACGGGGCCGCGAAGAGCGGCGACGGGGCCGCTAGGGGCGGCGACGGGGCCGCGAAGGGCGGCGACGGGGCCGCGAGGAGCGGCGACGGGGCCGGTAGAGGCGGCGACGGGGCCGATGGAGGCGGCGACGGGGCCGATAGGGGCGGCGACGGGGCCGCGAAGGGCGGCGACGTGGCCGCGAAGGGCGGCAACGGGGCCGATAGGGGCGGCGACGGGGCCGCTAGGGGCACGCCACAGGGCGTGAAGCACACAGAGTAGCAGTGGAAGCAGTTAGGTGGGTCCACAGGCCAGGAGCGTAGATGCTCTGATAGCATGTGAAGAAACGAGGAATGAAGAAGAGGGGTTGCACTAGCAGCAGTTGGCATACATATAGGAAACCCTAATTGGGTCGTACTCGCTATAGAGTACCCCACTGCAGGCTAGACAATTATAACATTCTGACACTTCGCACAGTGCAGCTACCTGTCGTCCAGTCTGTTCGCGGGTTGTATCGTCGTAGCCAATCACGCCCCAGTTTAATGTCGTGCCCATCCAGCGTCGCCACGAGTATTTCATGCGTAAACCCGATGTTCCGCCACGCTGCAGGGACGACCTCGGCCTACACTGCACCGGGCGGTCAGCTGCGCCAGGCCGCTGGGAGCAGCTCTCCTGACCCTCCATCTGGCGGTTTGTTCCGCCAGCCTGCGGGTCTGACCTCCGGCGATCCTGCACCTGGTGGTTCGTTGGGGCAAACCGCATTGAACAGCTCTCCTGATCCTGCACCAGGCGGTCCGTTTAGCCAGGCCGCTGGGAGGAGCTCTCCTGACCCTGCATCAGGTTGTCGGTCGGGGCACGAGGATGGGAGGAGATCCGCTGACCCTTCAGCTGGCGGCCAACTAGGACAAGTGGCTGGGTGGAGCTCTGCCAACACTCCTACTGGCGCTCATTTGGTCCAGACCGCTGGAAGACCTACAGCCGACCATGCTCCTGACGAGATGCGCACGATAGCTGCTGGGCACACCTCCACTGAGACCCATGATGGCAGCATGTTCCTGCCGTCATGCGAACCGGTTCCGGACGCCCCTTTCTGCCCGTCTGCTGGCATGACCTCTGCCGACCCTGCTGTTGATGGCGTGTTAGGCCAGGCTGCTTGGAGGACCGACGCCAATCCTGCTGCTGGCGTGCTGCTAAGGCCAACCGCGAGGCGCATCCCCGACGACACCAACACTAACGGCGTGTTCTCCCCGCCTGGAGGCGCCGAGCTTGGCGGCCACTTTGGCGAGGCCAATGGGAGGACCTGGACCAACTCTGGAGCAGACGAGCCGCTCATCCCGAACGCTGGTGGAACCGAGGCCGGTGATGCTGTGGGCGGTCAGACAGGAGATGCGTATGGGCGGGCCACTACACACGCTGCTGATCATGAACTGCACGGGCATGTGGCAGAACCGACCTCTGATGTTGAAGAGGCGCGTGCCGCACATCGTGCTCTCCAGCGTGAGAACCAGCGGCTGTTGAATGAGCTTGAAGAGCTTAGGCGTTCGCTTTCTCGGTCAACGTCACCTGCTGAGACCTCTGGTGGTGCGGGCGAGCAGCAGGAACCGTCTCCAAACTCTGGGAATGTCGCAGCTAATGTGCAGCCAGGAAGGCATCCCATCGTACCGATCAACGATCGGCTGCTTGGGAGGGCCGTTGGGAACGCTCATGCCCGGGGAACCGAGCATGGCCTGCAACACTTGACCCCGGAGCAGGAGGTCCTCGCATTCGACCTTGCTGCAGCGATGAGGCGAGTCCCCGAGGTCAACAAAGGGCTTTATGTAAGCACCTTCCATGCTGGCACGCCATCCACATTCTTATGTTTTTCGCCTCTCATGCTTACGCAGGCAACAGTTTCTCTATCTCGTATCTTGGTTTTCAATGTAACACACCCTCAACATGCTGCGTGTGTTACTTCCCCACTGTCACCAGGTGGCAATGTTGGATGCACTCACCGTTCTTTTCTGGGATATGCCGGATGGTAGGATGGACTTCTGGCCATCTCGGAAGGTGCTGCTGGGAGCGCTTGCTGCTGCTTTGAAGTACAAGACGGTTGGTCAGCGGACCGACCTGCTTCATGTGTATCCTTTTGACCCAGTTCGACGTGGCTATATCCGCAACAAGCTGCAGGATGGACGGCATGTCATTCTGCATACCGGTCGATGCGGTATTTACAGAGCGTTTGACTTGTACATTCAACGCCCCGACCAAAACCGCAAGCTCATGGGTTCCACCTTGATCGAGGCGTGGAAAGTGCAATACAAGCCAGGTATGTCTCTGTTGCCCCACTACCTGGAAGGAAATGTTTTTGATCCCATATCCATGTGAGCAGCCTGGCTGCTGCATGCCTGTAGTCGAGGCTAGGCAATCACCTCACCCCACCCCACTTCACTCCACTCCCCTCTTTCCTTCCCGTCCCCTGCTCAGGTAAAAAATTGCCAACAAAGTGCTAATTGGAGATTCAGGGGAGGGTGCTGAAAGAAACCCTTTTCATCCAACCTCCATCCATCAACTCCCGCTCCCGTCCTCTTTCCCCTGCCTTCGCACCCCCATATCCCTGTGAGCAGCCTCCCTGCTGCATGCCTTCTATCGCCAGAAGTAGTCGAGACTAGGCAATCACCTCACCACCCAACCCCCTTCACCACTCCCGTCACTCATTCCCTTCCCCTGCTCAATCAATAAAACCGCCTGTAGATTGCTCGCAGGAGATTCAGGAGAGCTTTATGAAACAAAAAAGTTCAAAACGTTTTTATCACACCCCCTTTACGTCAACTCCCGCTTCCCTTCTCTCTGTCCTGCCTTCTCACTACATATCCCTGTTAGCAGGCCTCGTACTGCATGCCTTTTCCGCCAGCTGTGGTTGAGGCTAGGCAATAACCTTACCCTACCACCCTTCTCTCCACTCCCCTCTCTCCTTCCCGTCCCTCTCAGTGAACTAAGCCGCCAGCAGTGATGCTCACAGGAGATATCAATAAGCATGCTAGAAATTTCGCTCTCATTCCACCTCCTCTCAACACCCGCTTTCCTTCTCTCTCCCCTATAACTCAACCCACATCTCAGCAGCCCCACAGGTGCATGCTTTGTATCGCCATCCGTAGTCGAGGCTAAGCAATCACCTCACACCAACCCCCTTTCCTCCACTCCCCTCTCTCATTCTCGTCCCTATTCATTGAAAAAAAACCGCCAGCATAGTGCTCACAGGCGATTCAGGGGAGGTTGCTGAGGAATTTGTTCTCATCCCCCACCTCCTTCTCTCAACACCCGCTTCCCTTCTCTCTCCCCTAAACCCTTCTCACCCCATATCTCAGCAGTCCCACTGGTGCACAGCTGGTATCGCCGGCTGTAGTCGAGGCTATGCAATCCTCCACCCCACCCTCCTCTACTCCACTCCCCTCTCTCCTTCCCGTCCTTATGTGAAAAACCGCCAGCATAGTGCTCACAGGCGATTCAAGGGAGGGTGCTGAAGACTCTGTTCTCATCCCACCTTGTCTCAACTCCCACTTCCCTCCTCTCTCCCATGTGCCTTCCCCAAATCCTTGTGAGTAGACTCCCTGTTCCATGCCTTGTATCGCCAGCTGTAGTCGAGGCTAGGCAATAACCTCACCCCACCCCCCTTCACTCCCCTCTCTCCTTCCCTTCCCCTGCTCAGTGACAAAACCGACAGCTGAATGAGAGTCAGGGGCGCTGGCTGGAATATGGTTCTCATCCCTCTTCTGTTTACTCCGGCCCCGTCTTCTCTCCCTATGTTGCTTCTGTTATGCAATCCCATCTGTTTTGCAATGCCTGAATGTGTGTGCAGTCGATGGGTCTTACGATCTGTACACGTGGCATTGCAACCAGAACGGGGTCCCTTTCTCCAACGCTGTCTTCACGCGCTTGATTGCGGCGTCTTTCCGCCGCGATGGGGAGGATGTCCTTGTGCTGAAGCTCAAACAGATTGCTTTTTGGCTGTATGGGGTGAGTGAGAGTAACGTCCTTTTCTGAATTGAGTGTAACGCATACTAGTTGTAATTCATCAATGCCTCCTTATGTCCATGCAGGTAGAGCACAAGATCATACATGGGGAAGAATTGCCCCGCAGCACGACAAGGAACAGAGAAGGTGTTGTGCTGTACCACAACAACGTGCGACGTTGGGCGCGAGACGCAGTCGACACGAGCACCAATGCTACGGGTCCCTGGTGGGACAGTGCCAACAATGCCTGGCGCTTTTCGCGCTCGGACTGTGGCGTTTTTATTAGCCAGGAGGGTCTGGATGATATTTGAGTATGGCGTGGTGCTTGATGGGTAATAGCAGCTGAGGAAGGTCCTCAATTATTACTGTAGCACTCGTCTTGCTGAAAAACGAGTGCATATTAATCTGGAAATATATCCAGATTTATATTAAATATATAATATATAAAATTATTTTAAGAATTATGATTCACGTATACGGTAAAATTAAAATTTCTAAAATGTATTGTTACAATATGTAGTAACAAAGTAACGTAGTAGCGCCGTAACAATTGTTTATTGATATGCGCATAGGATAATTGCATTCTACGTTTGAGTGTATGCGTAACTAGAATCGTAACCAGGTAGACTCCATGTAATCGCCGGATTGATGTCGCAACCAATAAGAACAATCTGTCGCGAACCAATATGATGAAGTCGATGGCGATTGGGTTCACCGCGGTAGCCCATCCCTGCAGACCAAGTAACGAGCTCTGATTGGTCAGTCATTTCAAAGTTACGATAAAGCAAGATTTGGGTGTAAATGAGATTAACGGCTGAGATTCAGTGGTTTAGATTCCGAGAAGTTTCTGTTGAAGCCGAGTCATTTCAAAGTTACGAGAGGGAATGTTGGCCACAATCTTTAGAGTAGGTGTTGGAAAACCTACCGAAATGTTACCCCAATGTTGCCAGGTGGTAAGAAACGAAACCCCCGCGTTTTGGGATGGTGTTTTGAGTTAGGGTTTGCTATGCGGGTAACGTCTTCGGGAACGAAGGAAGCCTTCCACCAATGATAACGGTTCCGCCAGCAGAAAATGCCTCAAGCAGTCAGCGCCTAAAGGGAATTCACAGGTCGCGAACTTCCGAGGCGGATCGCGTGCGCTACTAAGCTAATGGCGCATAACGAAGGTATACAAGTCCAGATAGTGGCCGCGCTAGTACCAATCTGCAAGTTCATCACGCCATGCGTACCCCCCGAGCAGATCTGTAGCAAACTGCGCGAATTCGTCGTTTAGACCAAGCCGTCGCCATGGGAGGACTATCTTAAAGCGACGGGCAACTTTTGGCAGTGTTGGGTTCAGAAGTTTTTTTTTTGAACCAGGCTTGCCAGCGCGAAAGTGCTGGCTGGCGAAAACTTCTGAACCCAACACTGCCAAAAGTCGCTTTAAGTTTTGAGATTTTACCAGTTCTAAAAACCAGAGAAGCGAGCAGGATGGTTTTGCGAGCAGGACGAAATCGGCGAGAAGGTTTGCGACAGTCACAATTCAGCTTTGGTGGTTTCCACCAAGCCAGCCTGGAAACAGATTTCCGAAGGAAATGAGAAGTGCCTTTCATATTCTCTCAAGGAGAGAATACGGAACGTTGTTTCAGGTTACACGTGTTTGGCGAAAACAGCGCGTTTGAACGAAGTTCGCGTATCCAGATCCGACCCCACCTCCATCCCCTGCCTCTCTTCCTTTTGTAACTCACACCCATTTCCTCTCAGGCCGTGGAGACCAGAGCTACTGCACTGATGTGTCCGTGAGAGCAAGCACAATCTCCAGCCTCCGCTCATAGTTGCAGCTGTCGCCGTGCTAGCTGCATGCACGCGCCGCTCCTGACCCCTCTCGCATCTTATCCCGCAAAAAAAATGTTTTGCTTCTGGTCATTCCTGATCGTGAAAATCGCGATCGAACTGGTAGATCTACGACACTGCCTCACGATGCTGCAACGCGATGCTACTCGGCACAAGCGCGCAGAGCGACAATCTCACTAGCGTAAAAAGTGCTTCGTTGCGCTTGTGAAAGCGAACGCCAGGGAATGGCGTGAACAGCTTAGGTGGGGGTTTGCATGCCACGATAGTGATGGTCGAGTCGCCGGTAGAGAATTGCTATGGCGGAGCGAACACGAAGAGATGCACTGTCGGATGATAAGAGAGCGGGAGGGAGAGAACGGTGGTGAGAAAACGCAATGACGTTGGAGAGGGATGAGAAGAGACTGGAAGGAAGAGAAGGGTGTCGAAAATGCAATGACCCTGCAGAGAGGTTCGTTGTTCTCTACAGCGGAGGGCATCTTTGTGGACGCGAAAGTTGGGTCCAGCCGTAGAGGACTCCGCCGAAGAGAAGGGCGCGTCTGCAGGAAACTGTTATGCAGAGGAGCGACATCTCCTCGACAGGCGACCCTCCGTGCAGAAGTGCGCGAATATTTTCTCCTCGGTAGAATCCTAGAAAAATCGGACATCGGAAATTTGACCCCGTCAATTTCTGGCACGGCTGACGGGCTTTCCCACGCCGAAGCAGAGGTTGAAGGTCAGGCACGCCAGGCTCGACTGGGTAAATTGGTGAACATCTGACTTTTCCGAGGTGAGGTAGAAGAGGGAGACCGTTCGGGAGGTCCGGTTGATTTTCGTTCGAATACGGTTTCCAGATCTGATTATGCCAGGGTGTCTGTCGTATGGAAGCTCCGAACATGACGGGGATGAGGCTCGGTCGACTTGACAAAGCCAAGGCTGAGTCCTTTCGCCTCCGAAGGTTTTGGTTCCGCCTTTTCCAACCTCGTCACCCGAGAATTTCGCCTGGCTAGGTTGTGCTCGTGTAGAAAGGCTAGCCTGCATTCGTTGTACACAAGATGCCCAACCCCTGCGCGCGAATTTGCCCTGCCCGCGATGGAAACTCTGCACCCGTGCATTAGGGTGCCAGCCAGTTGCACCCCATTTACAAGCACCTCGAGCAATACGAACCACAAAAACCGAAGTTTGACAGAAGAGACCAACGTCAAACGGTCAAAAGAGAGTTACAAAATCTTTTAAAAGCTCTTTTTGCTAAGTGCGAATTGACGAGAACTTAGCGAAATGAAAGAATCACTTAAGAGCCCTCTTTACAAGGCAACCTTGGGCTAGTCAAACGGGCATCTTGTGTACAGACTTCTTCCAATCCAAATCACGGGCCTTCATTTCCGAGTACTCGACAATCATCACAACTCTCAATCCAGACCCTAATTTTGGAAACCTGCGTGGTTAGGGCGCGTAACCATTTTGCATTTTTTGATTTTGACGTACCGTCCGATTATAGGGAATCGGACCGTACGTTTATAACGAAGCGGACTGTCCGATTTGAATTTTTGCAACTTCGGACTGTCCGAAGGCAGTTATGACACTTTTTCCACATCCTAGGGTTTCGCGATATCCCTCCCTTCGCCAACTCAAATGTACACCAGTAACCCCAGGCACAACTCGTCGCAATTTTCGCCAGGAGAGTTCTGCGCTTCGGACAAACATAGGAAATGTCAAACAAGCACAAAGGCCGTCCAAACCAAGCCTAATCAATGACAAAGAGGCTAGTTGTGATTGGTCAATGTCAATGTTTGCATCCGAATCGCATTTTTTCATGTTTTGGCGAGGCGGTCCGATGAAATTCAATATCGCACACCAATAGCGTGCGCGGACTGGCGGACAGTCCGTTTGTGATTCGGACGGTCCGAATGTCAGTGTTTCGGGACGTTGGAGAGGGAAAAAAGTGTCATGACAGTTCGGATTTTTGGCGACGTCGCCTACGTCCTCGCGAATAATAGAACGACATTAAACGAAAGTGGTAACCCTTCGCCATGACGGACGGTCCACGGTTCGAACCGTCGGGTGCAACGAGGTCACTCGCAGGAGTCCCCCGCCTCACGTATACCAAATTCGATAGCATAGATGGTACCGGCTTTTCCGTTCGCACCGTCGCCGTATTGACGGAATCGTCGTCAGCATCGTCGTAAACGTCAACCGATTTATAAACCAAGTGCACTCGCTGTATCCATAGCCACAAAGGACTAATTCAAAGCCCTTGCTAGCATTTAATAACCATTACCAGCTACAGCAACGAGCCATCATCGTGCCCATTTTCCAGCCGCGCTAGGTCGCGGCAATGTCAGCCTTAAGTCCGAAATCAGACACGATCGTCCCCCCACCGCGCACTCGCGCCTTGCTCGGCGCGCAGCTCCCGGCGCTGCTGCTGCAATTGTGCTGCGCACTCTCGCCTCGCGCCGAGACGGCGCGCAGCTCCCGCCACTGCTGCGTCTGGTGGTGCCGCTGCGGCTGCTGCTGCTGCTCGTGTTGCTTCTGCTGGCGACTGCTCCCACTGCTAGCAATGCCGCGCAAGTGACGCAGATCGATTCCCCGCCGCAGGCCGATCCTGCTGTGGCAGCGGCTGAACGTACGTGTCGAGATGAAATGCGATAATGGTTCTTCACTTGAGGCTCTTGATGAATCCCGTGCCACGAAAAGACTGATGCGCGCTGTAGCATTTGTGACCCACGTGGGCGCATTTGAGACTCCTCAAAGGCAGCCGTCGGGAACTGCAGAGCAACTAAGACAGAGCCACGGGCTACAGCGCCTCCCATCCATCCATCCCTCAGCTTCCGTCAGCGCAGCATGATCGAAAGCATTCTCGGTCCTGTGGTATGATCTGCTATCCGAGTCGCACCTGCGTAGTATGTCGCCGAAACTGTTGACGATTGGGGGCTGAAGCTGCACCTGCCTCGCTGCCACCGCGACCGACAATCCAAGCCTTGTCCCCGAAATATCTGAAACAAAGGACGTAACCACCAGGGTTGTAAAGGCCCTCGTTCTGTGATGTTCATGTATCGATTTGGCGAGAAGAGTGATGGCGAAACGCATTCAATCAATCAAACCTTCCTCGTGCTGCTCGGCTTGCGTGTCAGCGCAAATCGCTCTCGTCGCCACATTGGTCATGGCGAATGCACCTCTGCGCCGTGGCAGCAGCTGGAAATTGGAATGAATGTGAGCGAGCG